TTCTCCACCCCTTTTAATTTGATGATAGTTTTCTCTTGGGTGAGCTCATGTGCTAAAGCCAAGAGCATGATGGTATGTGGATCCCCAGTTTCTCCCATAGATGGAGACCCGCCTTCTGCCGCCACAATGCGGGGGTCAGAAACAAGGCCCCAGAGGACCTGCCTAGCTCCCAGGTGCCCTGAGTTGCAGACAAGGGCTTGGTTGTGTATTTTCTTGTGGAGGAGGCTTGAATACTATCTGCCCCTCCCTTGATGTCCCTCCCAGGAGGGGTTGGTTTGAAGAAAGTAGAAGGCTCTCTGGGGAGTTTCAGATATATTCGCCTTACTGTGTTTTAGTTCAACCTAAAAAGAAACTCATACTGACATTTAATTTACTGAGCAAGCGCCTATTATGTGTTGATACTATGCTAAGCCCTATAAGGGCAACAAAAACAATTAAAGCACAAAGCTTGCTTGATCTCTCCCCCTATTTTCCCCCCTTCCATCCATGTTGTAATGCATGGAATATAATAGGAAGTACTGATGAATTGCTGTTGAATCACTGAACTCAGATTTGAGTGTTAGTCCCTTCCTCCAAAGAGGTGAATGACTCCTGATTGTCTTCCACTAGAGACCTTGCTTCTCCATCAGGCCTTTGTAGCTTGTTAGAGTTTGGCCTCTACCTGTCTGTCCGTTTTCCTTCCCCACTCTAGTGTAGGCTGTAGGCCCACTTAATGTTCTCAGAACATTCTGTGCCTTTGGCCACAGCCTGGAGCAAATGCCTTGCCTGGTAGTTGTTTGCTGTTGTGATGGTGGATTCTCCAAACCTCAATGAACCACAAAGTCCTTTTTGTCTTTCTATACCCAGCTCAAGTGTCATCTCTAGGAGCCTTTGATAAACTCCCACCTCCAGTTAAGACTGTTGTTCCTTTTATATTCCTACCCCTTTATAAGGAAATGCAGTTCCACCCCAAGCCTTAACCACCAAGCTACCCTGTGTTGGTTACACTAAGTGTTCTTATTCGCCTTGTTTGGGTGTGTTTTTGGATGCTGAGCTCTTGGGAACATGGCTATTTCTTTTTCATCTTGGTACCCTCATTGCCCTTAAAAGTATTTTATGAGTAGTGGGTGCTCCATAACCTAATGATCAAATACACTGAGTCCACCTTCCTGCTTTCGATCCAGTGGAAGGGACCCTTGCTTGGAGGGACAGCTAATTCAATAGCTGTGGTGTTCAGGGTAAGTAAGATTCAGTTCTTCTCATTGTTCAGAACATAGGGCTGAGCCAGCTGCTGTGGGAGTCCCTGGGAATAAAGTACCCTACCTTCCTCAGGTACTGCCCAGCCTGGGCTGCTCTGGGTATTGTGTATTAGAGTTTAAGGAAGCTGTGGAGATCAGCATCATAAAATGCTCAGAGAGATTAACAACTGTGCCTTGATCTTACTCAGTGGGAAAATTTCCCACGGGGAGATTACCTGAAAGTGAATGAATTAAAGGAGGTAAACTATACCAGGTCAACCTAGTGGGTACCTTCAAGGGTTACTTAGTGCTTCTGTTGAGGAATTCAGGATATTTTCTAGACCTCTGGGTTGTTCTCTTTGCTGCTCCTGAGGCAGTCTTATGGGTCTAGGAAAGCTTGATCTGTCTCTCTCTTTTGAATACATTGTCTCTCAATCTTTATTATTGCTATTACTGCCATTATTTTTAATGAAAAAAACTGACACATACTTGGAATAGTTGGAAACAATGTGGGAATCCCACCTTACAGAGGTAACCGTCACCACCATCAGTTGGTTGTGTTTCCTTCAAGACAATTTTTTCCATCAATCTATGTAGATTATTAGAGTGCATTTAAAAAACAAAAATGGGATTATTAGTCACATTTTTTCCTGCAATTTTCTTTTTTTTCACATGACAACACATTTGGCCATCTTATCAGGAAGGTGTCTGACCCTCTTCCAAGCTGGGTTTAAACTGTGTGTAGTCCGTCCGTCAGCGGGCCAGCACTGAAGAGAGTAGCCCATGCCTTAAAGCACCTCTAAGGACAAGAGTAAACATTTAACACAGGGGCCTGGGTGTTTAGAACCTGCTGCAGTTGCCGGATAGCTTTGAGGTCAAATGTGTGATTTTACAGGTTCGTTTTATGTTCATTCATTATCTATCACGAGGGAAAACTGATGGTTTAGGGGAAATACATTCTGTTTATCCTGGGGCTTCGTCATCCCCCAGGGTACACTTGGCTCAGTGTGGAGTGCTGCAGGAAGTATGCTGAGGAGTGTCAGAGTTCTGGGCGGACAGATCCAGAATTGTCTCAAACAGGGGAAGGGAACATTGCACTTTTGGGTGATTGGACCAGTGGGGTCCCTTCTGGGCCTTGTGTCCTCTTCAGTCTTTATTCTGAAATTTCCTGCCATTAGGGACCAATCACCATACCAAAAGGTATCACTTACAATAGATCCGTTGACCAAATGGTAGTTATCATGGAAAGCAGAACCATAAAGCCAAGTGGGCCTATTTCATTTTGGAGCTTATAGGATGATGATCGCATCTCGGTAACAATACAAATATCTCATACCGTTAGAGGCTTACTGTGTGCCAGACTTCCTTTAATTTGCATTTACACTTGAGATTCAAAGAGATTGAATAGCTTGCCCATAGTCAACACAGCCAGTAGGCATTGCTACCTGTGTGTGTGCACTTGTGCAAGTGTGTGCATGTATTTACCCATGTGTATATGTACACACGTGTGTGTATGGAATGGGGTGCAGGAGAAAAGCACTTCCTTTTCTCTGCAAAATGATGCTGCGGACTAGATCAGCCTATCACAGATGATTATTGACCGTCACAGACTTGGGTTGCCTACCTGGTGTGAGTTACACTTTGATGTTTGTGCAAATGCCAGCTGGTTTCGACCAGTCCGGGTGGCCCCAAGTCAGAGGTTTGCCTTTCTCTGGAGGAACTCGGATTCCCAGCAGTGCTCTTGGTCGTCAGCTAAGAGCGTGCTACCTCCTGGCTGGAATGGGTGGTTTGTCTTTGGCCAACGTGACTAGCAGTGTGCTTTGAAGCTTTGGTGCCAGGTTGGCCACATCAGGGACAGTGAGAGCCCTGGGGTCCCTGGGGGATGAAGCTTGCCCAGAGGAGAGTGAGGATGGAGAATGATTGTGAGACCAAGTCATTTAGCCGGAAGAGCTGGGGTTTTTAAGTCCAGAGGAGAAGAGCTTCAGAGGGAAGGAGGCCAATGTAGAGAAAAGGGAATTCTGTTGCTGTCCCTGAGGGGAACCCCGGGTCCCTTAGGTCAGAGTTCTGAGGGAACATGTAAGTTCATCATCAGGAAGCTGGAGGTACCCGGAAGCAAAATGGGATGTCTCGAAGGGAGGTGACAGTGTGTGTGGAGGTGCTAACACGTGTCCCAAATGGACTCTCTTACCTGCTCATGGAAAATGCTATCCTCAGTCTCAGCGCCCGCCTGCCAGGTACATGGGTGCGTGTGGGGGTTCCTTCCTAGGCTGGCAGGTTGGACTTCAAAGGTCTTTGCAATCCCATCCCATTCTGGGTGTCTAGGCTGCAGGGTAGTTTTGCTTAGAGGCCACCCTGTGGACCCGTGCGGACCCATGACCCTGCAGACAAGGCTGGGGGTATATTAATTTGCTAGGACTGCTATAAAAAGTACCACCAACCAGGTAGCTTAAACAACAGACATCTATTATCCCATAGTTTTGGAGCTGGAAGTCCAAAATCAAGGTGTTGACAGGGTTGGTTCGTTGAGGCCTGTGTGGGAGTGACCTGTTCTAGGCCTCTCTCTTTAGCATGTTCACATGGTGGTCTCCCTATATGTGTGTCTGTCTTCAGTTCCCCTTTTTATAAGGATATCAGTCATTTGGGATTAGGCCCACCCTAACGACCTCATTTCAACTTAATAACCTCTGTAAAGAGTCTCTTTCCAAATACAGTCACATTCTGAGGTCCTGGGGGGTAAGACTCCAACACAGGAATTTTCAGGGGACACAGTGCAGTCCATAACAGGGACAAGCAGCACTCCCATGAGTCAGGCCCACATGGCTGTGGGCTGGGTACTCTGTGTGCTGCTGGGACCCTCTTTGGCCTTTTCCAGTGGCCCAATCACTTCTCCTTAGGAAGTCACAGCAGGACCAGTCTGTGACATTAGGGTGAAATAGACATCATGTGGCATTAACTATATTCTCATTGTTGTGCAAACGTCACCACCATTCATCTCCAGACTGTTTTTATCCTCTCAAACTGGAACTCCATACCTGTTAAATAATAACTCTCCATTCCTCTGTGTCCTCAGCCCCTAGCAATTACCATTCTGCTCTCTGTCCCCATGCATTTGACTCTTCTAGGTACCTCATATAAGTGGAGTCATACGATATTTGTCTTTGTATGATTGGCTTCTTTCACTAACCATGATGTCCTCAAGGTTCATCCGTGTTGCAGTATGTGTCAGAATTTCCTTCCCTTTTAAGGCCGGATAATATTCCAGTCTACGTAGATACCACATTTTATTTATCCATTCAGCCAGTGACGGACATTGGTGTTGCTTCCACCTTTTGGTGTTGTGCATGGTGCTGCTGTGAACATGAGTGTATGGACTTTTTAAAAAACTCTGTGCTTATGCGTGTGCTTGTCCGTTAGAGAAAGATTCAACAGATAGTCCCGGAGAAAGCACCTTCGCAGCCCAGACACCACGGTGTGTATTTTGACCTATGCGTGTGAGCTGTGATCATTCTGTACGTGCTGTTACGGAACCTGAACCAATTAAAAAAAAAAAAAAATGTTTGCTGTGAAATTACTTGTTAATGTCCTTGTCTGGAACAGCAGGTTGGTGAGTGCCTGATGCGGGCCGGGCAAAAACTGGTCTTATCCTCAGGGTCCCCTGTGTGGTTGGTACGACCACCTCATTGCTCAGTGGGGGAAACAGGCTCTGGGAAGCACAAGCTCACCCAGCATATTTCTGCCTTAAAGGCGGGTTCCTAACTGGCTTCTCCTCTCCGTGTCTCCTAGGCAAATGTCTGCAGACTGCGGCTGACCATACCCCCCGAGAGTCCAACCTCAGAGTCAGGTGAAAAGAAGGTTGGAAGAAAAGAACAAGTAAGCCGTCTCTGAGGCAAAGCTCTGACAAGTTCTCATCTTGGTGCTCTTTTATTTGAACCCCGTCCCCCGCCCGGCCTCTACACAGGCTGTTCACAGAGTCTGACTGTCAGTGACTCTGCTGATGAAAAGGCCCTCCTGACCTTGCCACCGCATCCTCCGTCTTCCCAGAAGTCCGACCGCCCTGCCTGGCTGGCTCTGCCGGCCTCCTGGCCCTGCGCTTGTTTCTTGCTGAAGGCTGGCTCTGTGGGGCCCTGAAGCTGTAGGGACGTTGGCCTTAGTGACAGGGGCCGTGGCAGGGAACGGGCTTTTCCTGAAAGAGCCCAGTCCTGTGGAGTCACAGGGCCCATTGTGAGCCGCCCGAGGCCGAGCCTGTCTCCGCCGCTGGAGGCGGAAGCCCAGCTCATGGGGAAGGCCACCTGGAGAGAACGAGCCCAGCGGGCAGCCCGGACTCGCGGCAGGGCTACTGGGCTCAAGGGCGGAGCAGATTTCTGTGCTAAGTGCTGGGCTGCGAGTTATCTGACCTTGTCCTCATCTTAGAGGAGCTCGAAGTTTCTCAGGGGAGACAGACTTGGGAGCGATGTTGGCGTGATAGTTCAAGTGTTAGGGTCCAGAAGGGCAAGAGGGGCTCTGGGAACACGGGGAAGGGAAGAGCTGACTGCTGGGGGTGACACCGAAGCAGAGGCCCAACAGAGGCATGGGAGGTGCCGCTCACCTCTAGGCCTCTTGTCCCGGGCAAGCCATTTTTCTCACCCACAGAGAGTTATGGGACACGTCCTGTATTCCGGGCACTGTGCGTTGGGTGTAGGGTACCAGTACTCCGCGGTGAGTACAGAGGTGAACAGAGCAGTGAGCAAAAAGTGCCTGTCAGTCACGGAACTTACCTCTTAGTCGGGGGCAGAAGGAGAATTAAAAAATAATATTTTATTTTTTTAAAGTTTTTATTTATTTATTAGAGAGAGCGAGAGAGCACAAGCAGGGGGAGCGGCAGGCAGAGGGAGAGGGAGGAGCAGGCTTCCCGCTGAGCAGGGAGCCTAACTTGGGACTCGATCCCAGGGCCCTGGGCTCATGACCTGAGCTGAAGGCAGATGCTCAACCTACTGAGCCACCCAGGCAGCCCTGAAAAATCATATTTTATAGAATTTCGAAGGTAGTAAGTGCTGATGGAGACAAAACCAGAGACGGGAACAAGAGTGCCGGGGGGTAGGTAGTAATCGTTCTTGTGCATATATTTTGTGTAAGCATAAAATAAAATAGTAAAATGATAGGCTGTGTGATCATAGAAGTTTTATAAATGGAATCATGAGACAATGACAAGCCTTGCTACGGAGTTGACTGCTAACGTGGCCACCTGTAAAAAAGGAAGCTCCTCTGTGAGTGGTACATGGTTGAGAAGATCCTTAAGTTTACTGGGTTGGTCTTTGTCTCTCCTCCCCTTCTCTTAGCCCCTTCTTCCCCACCTTTCTACTAAGCACAGAGCTGTCTGTACTAATTCAAATGATGAATGACAGGGAAAGGGGGAAGCGGGCAGGGGATGAGGAAATGACTAGCACCAGTTTGAGAGAAAGTGAAGTTGCTTATCTGCTTAAAGAGGGAGGATGAGTCCCACCAAAGGATCCAGAAAAAAATGGCTGGCCCCACGTGGGAGCAAGGCAAGTCCAGGGCGAGCCTGGGATGTCTCCTGCCGGAGAGTGAGGCGGGCACTCACACGGCAGGGGTCATAGCAAAGGACCCAGAAGCCGGTTTGAAGGGGGTCTCACTGAACTGGCAAAACTGGAACAATGTGAACATCAAAGTAATGACAAGGGCCCCTGGGTGGCTGAGTCGGTTAGGCGTCTGCCTTTGGCTCGGATTGTGATCCCGGGGTCCTGGGATTGAGTCCCGCGTCGGGCTCCCTGCTCTGTGGGGAACCTGCTTTTCCCTCTGCCTCTCTGTCTCTCAAGAATAAATAATAAAATCTTAAAAAAAAAAAAAAAAGGAATGCCAGTAATATGTTTTGACATGTTGCATAATAAAAAGAAGATTCACGAGTGTACAGTAATCATCAGAGATTTACAAAGGGCAAGCTCTTTTATAGAACTTCAGCTGATAAACTCGGAAAATCTCTATTTTGTAACCCCTAGGTCAGTTCATCAGTGGGTGCAAAGGCTAGTTGGTGGAAGATTATCATGGAACAGTGTTTTCACACGCTGCCAGAGCATCCCCTCACACGTTACCTCCTGGCTCCACAGGTACAATGGTACAGTCTGGCAGCCAGCATTTCAACCAAAGCTCCAGTCTAGCTTTCCCAGGAGGGGGGCAGCCTGACCTATGGGCTCCTGAGGTGATGCAGCCAAGGAGTGCCCGATATCACCTATGTGATGTTCATGCCAACTTGTTCAACTAAATCGAATAATAAGGAAACAAAGAAACCCCACATGTGGGACATTCTGCAAAAACATTTGGCCAAAAGGAGACTATAAGGAGGGTTAACATCAAATATAATGAGCGAACCTTGGTTAGATCCGGGATCAAAAAAAATCTGTAAAAGTTATATTGGGGTAATTGTACAGTTTTGAATATGAACCACGTATTCGATATTATTGAGTAACTGTTACTTTTCTTACTTGTGATAATGGTACCTTGAACTATTTTCTCAGCCTGTGTGTAGCTTTGAACATTCTCTGAAGAAGTTTGGGGGTTAAAGCTCATCACCAGAACCACCCAGCCAGACACCTGTTGTTGACTAGATGGAGGGGGGGCGCTGTGCTGCTGGGGGGGTGTCCCTTCTGCCCTCTCTGTTGCCTTGTCTGTCCTTTTAGGGAACTGGACCTGAGCTGTGTCCAGGGGCTCATGGCTGCTTAACACATGAGGAATCAGAAGGAGCACTTTTTGAGGAAGCGGCCTAAGCTGGAGGGAGTGAAGGAGAGGGGCCGTAGTGGCTGTCTCCGTATGCGCGGCAAGGGAAGCGGGGAGTCTGGTCTGTTGGAGCTAGACCCCAGCTGCGTGCCTGGGAGCGGTTTCTGAAGGGTTTCTGCTGCTGCGAGGCACTGGAGGGCACGTCAGCGCTGAGAGGAATCAAGTCTTCCCAAGCAGAGAGGGCACGTGTTCTACATCAAGCGGGAGTTGGTAACCTAGTCATATACTTAGATGTGCCCATTTTGTCTTAAACAGTGCTTTTCAAACTTTTCAAAGCCATAAGACTCTCTCTTTTTTTTTTAATCCAAATATCATCATGAGCCCTCGTATGTAAGGCAGGTAAAAGTGGCGGTATGGGGGCCAGAGTCCCTCCTGTGGGCGCGGGGGCAGCCCAGGGCTGTGAGGAACACTGGGCAGGAGCCGTGGGGGCAGAACATGCGCCAGGAGGCCTCGCACGCTGCTGGGTGGACCCGGTGTGCAGCCAAGCGCCCATCTGTGATGCGTCGGTGACTCACTGCCGAGGAATCGGGGTAGAGTGGAGGAGGGTGGGGCCGGCCATTTCCTCAGGACTGAAGTCCTTGGGTGGTGGTTGCACCAGAAGGTACTGGTGGTATAGCTGTGAGGCCATTCTGAGTGATTTTGCCACCATGTCCTGGCCAGCTTCCTGCGTTTGAGTCACTGGGGTCAGGGGCCAGGCACGGGCAAGGAGGCCCTGAAAGTGCCGTGTGATGTGCCTCCACCATGGTTGTCCCTCCCCCAGGACGTGGTGGCCCCGCAAAAGTGCAGGGCGCCAAGAACTCGGGACCACCCTCCCTGTGGAGGGGACTTGGGTTTCTTGGAGGGGCCGGGCGTGTGCAAGGGCTGGGGGGATGGGAGCTGGTGCAGAGGGGGAAGTGGGAAGGCCTGCCAGGTGTCCGATGAAGCCGAACTGGTAGGACCATGTCCGGGGTCCTGCTGGAGCTGCCGCTGACGGAGGGCGGGCCTGGGCCTTATTCTTTGACATTGTTGTGGCTGATGCTTTGTGTGTTCCAAGCACCTGGGGTCCCGGGGGCAGCTGACCACACATACATGCCAGCTGGGCCATTCTTCCGTGTGCTCTTCCCAAAGTCACCCAGCAGAGAGACCCTTTACAGGGGAAGGCTCTGGCGCCTGGTGGATCTCGCCCAGCTTCGTGACGGTGTGTTTGGAGACTTCTGGAGGCAGTCACCGCAGAGGCGTCTTTTTCTGGAGTCCCGGGCTCCAGGGGGGTAAGGGGGAGGTTTCCTGCCCTTATGGCAGGCCGTTCCTGCCTACTGCTTTTAGTTCTTCTCTTCTAGAAGGTACCAGCAGCCCCGAGACTGCTTTTTGCCAGCCACAGGTGAGCTCCCAGACACTTAGTTTCTCTGCCACTCCGTTTCCTTGTCTTCAAAGGAAGCACAGTAATGCCTGGTTGCAAAGAGTAAGTGAGCTAATATATGAGAAGACCCACCAAAGTGGCCTGTAATATTGCTTAGAGAGGCAGTGACTCGGGGCCAGGCTCAACCCTTCGAATGCCAAGCACAGTGGCCCTTCTTTGCTTTTCTCCCTTAGCCTTCTGGGAGTTACTCCCCCTCCTGGAACTGCCTCTCCTGCATCTTCCTTTTGGGCTGTGCCTGTGGCATCTTAGTTTGATATCCGTATGCCCTTCTCCGTAAATCTGAGCCTCTCTCTGCCCGTGTCTTCAGGCCTTGCTTTCTCGCTCTGCAGACTTTACCTCCAAGAGCTGCTCCTTTCCTGGCTGGGAGCCAGCTTCTCTGGGGAGATGCTCACCCTGCACATCAGCTCTGTCCTGCTGAGCCCTGTCCTGCTGGTGGCCGGGCCAGTTTTCCATGTTCTTTACGTGTGGTATTTTTAGGATACAGGTATCTCATCAGCACATTACCATTATTTTGGTATTTTAAAAATATGAGTCTGGATCATTTAAATGAATAGACATACCCAGAAAGGTCTAGGCTGCATGAGAGTTTGGAATGGAACCTACATATTCACATTTAGGAAGTGTTCTGACCCCACCCTCCCTCTGTGTGAAAGTCTCCTGAGGCATCTCACATTCCCATTGCCCGATGACCAGCAAGAAGGAGTGT